TTTATCCAAAAATAATTCCTTGCAAAAACTTAGTTTATAGTGAATATTTATTATTTTTATTTTATTTAATGAAAGTTTAAAAAAAATTTTTTTAAGGTATGAAAATTTGTGCTTCATTTTGAAGAATATAACTTTACGTTGCAAAGTACAGCATTTTAGCAAAATGGGTTGAATAGTTTCTGAGAAATTGAGTTTCAGAAAAGTCAGATATTTAAAATCGCTTGCACTAATTACTTAGCCTATTCGAGGTCAATCCTTCGTGCCATTAAGAATGAGTCTTAGAATGTGAAGATTCAATCATTAGATCAAAAGTTATGCAGGTTGGTCCGTTTTATTTTTGTGCACTGTGCTTCATAATAATGAATAATGTAAAGTTGACATCAAGCACATTTTATCTTTANGTGAAGATTCAATCATTAGATCAAAAGTTATGCAGGGTGGCCCGTTTTATTTTTGTGCACTGTGCTTCATAATAATGAATAATGTAAAGTTGACATCAAGCACATTTTATCTTTATTTATATAAATAAAAAACTTCTTTTACTTTTTAATCTACCACTGTGTATTATTTATCAGTTTTTTTTTTTTATTTAGTAAATTTGATCTGAATTTTATTTTTCTATAAAGAAAATGAAAGCCGTTTTATACTTTTTAAGCTTTTGTTTTACCTTTACATTTGGTTTTCTAGTTTTATATATTAAAACTAGAAATATGTTTATTAATGCCAAAAGGTATTTCAGTGCTTCACCTGACGAAATAAGTGGCAAGAATGATAGAAACATAGAGGACTCAAATTGATAGGCCCCGTGGCAGAATTGCGGCGACGCGGCTACATTGTTGCAGAATGTTACAGAGTCTTCGCAGAAAGATATTTCATTTGGGAAGATTTTGGTTTTCTTTTCTGCATAATTCTTCGGAAAATGTTTTTTTTTTCCCTGCAGATTTTTTTTCAAAAAGTCTTTCTTGCGCATCAAAGAGGAATGAAAAAATCATGATTTTTTTATTCTCATTTGAGATTTTTAAAAAGAAATTTGTAATGACTGGCTTCAGCAAGAATTTCGAACTGATTATATAAAATAAAAAATTCAGAAATTGTGAAAGTTTAAAAGGTAGTTAAGTCTAGAAATTATGTTTTTTCTTTAAATTTTTTTTTTCTTTGAAGAACACCATATTTTACATACACTTATGTGAGTATCTCTTTTTTACAGAGTCCTATTAGTGATGGTTATTTTGGAAGTTACTGCACGGATCTTCCGATTTTTTAATTCATGTACGAATTTTATATTATTATTGTGTAATTAATTTACGAATTTTAATTTGTGTAGACTAGGGACTTACAAAATTTAAAAGAAGAAATAATTAGTGAATTTTTCCGCCTACAAAATGCGAGAATATCGCCTATAATATTAGAGTTTAAAAATATTTCTTTTACAATTAAAATTTTTTATGCATTTTAATTCTATAATTTCCTCTCTAAACACGTTTCTGTTACTTTAAATTAGTAATAGTTATAATTAAAAGTATCTTAAATCAAAATAGTGCTAGGGAAGTTTGCCGCAGAAAGCCTGAAAAAATTCTGCCAAAGGGTTGACAGGTTACTACAATTAAAAGTGTAAAAAGGTTTTAAAAAATTCACAATTAAAGGAATTAAAAAATAAGTGTTTTCCAAATACACACTATTGAATTTTTGTTTTAAATCATATGAAAAGTCTCCCAGAAATCCAGGTCAATACATAACTCGCATTTTTGAATAATATTGACTAGGGAAAAATCGAGGCTGTTGCTTGTCCACCAGTTTTTGCTTTTTGTTGACTATTGGTGCTCTTAGACTCCTGACATAATTTTGTAGTACTTTTAATAGAAATTTATATACATGTTTTGTTTGTCTGATGAGAGTTAATTCATATTAGCAGGATTTATTACAAATGTCCCTGGTGTTCAAGCAATTAGGTTGAAAAAGGCGATCTAAAATTAATTAATTGATTTTTTCAGGATTTATGCAAATGTAATTTTCTTTTTTATTTAAATGAGTATTGAAATAAACTTTTATTTAAATGATATTAATAAATATAATATTTTGAGACAATTACTTGTTTAGTTAATATTCAGTTTTGTTTCTTAAAACAAGATACAGTTGAATGTTACTCAAAATGTTAGAGGTCAAATCTGTTAGGCAATTTTTTGTCAATACCAACAATAACTTGTGAACATTTTTTAAAAAAATTGTTTTAATTTTTATTTGAGACATGTTTTCAATGTAGCACTTTCTTCGGCTTGTCTCAAAAGCATGACTGTGTACTGATATATCTTAAATCAAAGTTCTGATAACATGAAACTGATACAAGATTAAAATGTTTTAGTTAATTGTCATATGAAATAAAATAAAATAAATGATAAATTGGAAACTGTTCTAAAAAGGATATCTACTCGTATATATATATTTTTATGTAAGTTAACTTAATTTTCATACTTTATATAACATCCAAATGAGTCCATTGTGATTATGATAATGCATTATTTTCAGAATTTTTGACTAACAGCAAAAATATTCTGAAATTATAACATTAATATATATATAAAAATATATACACAGTCAAACCCCGCTATAGTGAACACGGTTTATAGTGAACTCCCAGATATAGTGAACGAAATGTTTGATCCCGTGCCTTGCTATACATGTGTAATGTTATTTTTTGTTGATATAGTGAACCAAAAAAGTGATGAAGTTGGATATAATGAACTTTTTTCTGTCTTCTATTGATTTTTTTCTTCATATTTTTGTAATAATTTTGAAATTTCTAGTTCAAAATAAATACATATACTGATTTTCAAAACAATCTATAGAGGGGAATGTAGCGATAAGTATTTTTTCTTTGCTTTTTATCTAATTTTCCATCCCTAAACAAACCAAGCAGATGTTTCCAACCTAGGCAGATGATCCACCTGTAAGGTGTCATTGCAATATGCATTTTCTGTCAGAGGGAATGAGTAATTATTCCTTATTGGTCAAAGGGTTGGACACTAATCTGTGTTGATAAAGCCCTAATTTCAACTCCTTTTTGCTCTCAGTTCAGTTTAAAAAAGCATGCAAACAAGTTTCTCAAATTCAACTATGGTGAGCAGTAAACGTAAAACGTTCTCTATTGATGATAAAATGGGCATAATCAGAAAAATTGAAAATGAATGTAATCAAGCTGATATTTGCAGGGAATATAAACTATCCAAATCTTCAGTTTGTAAGATATGGAAAAATAATTTCTGCTCATGAAAAAAATTTAGATGACAGAAAAAAAGTTGAAGAGCAGATCACAAGGATATTGAATTAGCATTACTGAAGTGGTTCAGCATTTGAAGCCGCAATCTTCCAGTATCTGGACAAATGTCGATGAATTTGTTAAGCGATTTTGTGGGACTACTTTTATGTGCTCGAATGGTAGGTTAGACAGGTTTAAATAGCGGAATAACAGAAATTGAAGAAAAATTATCTGAGGGTAGGGAAGTGTTTCCATATCTGATGTTGAGAATTGCTCCTCAGCTAAAGATTACAATTTTTTTTTCTACGCAAAACGAAGAGAAATAAAAAATAACACAATTTTTGCTACTACATAATAGTTTTCAGTCATTTTTTGAATAATGAGTAATAAAAGGCAGGAGTTTGGGAATCATTAGTTAAATGCCCGCATTACGGATATAGTGAACATCCGGTTATAGTGAACCAAAATTTTAGTCCCTTGAAGGTTCACTATAACGGGGTTTGACTGTATATNTATATATATATATAATGGTTAGCATATCAGGTGTATATATATATATATATATATATTGCCATTATTCTGGGAAAACACCTGGCGTATAAAGAATAATTTTGGCTCAAATTTTTTACCTCTCACTTGACTGAATTTTTGGAAATAACTAAATTATAAATTATTTGAATCTGGCTTCATAACATTTCTAACACATCATCTAACAGATTTCATCTGTCTTCATTATTATTTAATAAGAATTTAAGGGCTACCCCTTAAATTATGAAGATTGCATGTTAGTACAAAATATATTTTATGAGCCCCATTTTCTAGTATTTTGCTATTCTGTATTTTAAAATGTATTTTATTTTAGAGCAAAAGATGATTTGAAAAAAGAAACTGATCCTTTTAAAAAGAAGGTTCTGGACGGTAGACAATTAGCTTTGAAAATAAGTGCTAACAGTGTATATGGGTTTACGGGAGCTCAAGTTGGAAAATTACCCTGTTTGGCTATTTCCCAGGTATGAGGCAGAACTATATTATATAATTTTATGTACAATTTTTATTCTGGTTTAATCTCACATAAAGTTGTTAGATGTCATACTGTTTGAGGTAGTATTTTCTGTACTTAAGTTTTTCTTCGACAAATTATTTAATTTTCATTTACTTTTGTTTTTTTAAATTTTAAAGACAGTAATTTAATTTTTTTTTACCTCTATTTGCAGTAGATAAAGCTGACTTTCCTAGTTTATTTATAACAGAAATGTTCATATAGGAAATGTTTGGTAGTAAATAATCTGAAAAAATATCTAGTATTTTTTTATCAAAGGAAGAACAGGAAAATGTAATCCTCATCATCATCAATGACTTGACAGCCCAGGGTGGGCCTTGGCTTTCTCAAGAACTTTTTTCCAGGCTAACCTTTTTCCAGTTTTAAAACCAAAAGGTCTTTTTCTAGGCCACATATCCATCTCAAAATCAGCCTGCCTCTTTTTCGTGTGCCAACTGATCTGGCATCGAAAACTCTTTTTGTGGTACGGTCTTCGTCCATTCTGATAATGTGGCTTGCCCATTTTATTCTTTGTCGTTTAATAAAGTTAATGTCAGGTTCATTATATAAGTGATAAAGCTCTGGATTTGATCTTCTAAGCCATACACCATTTTTTTTTAAATTCCTCCAAATATACTTCTCAAGACCTTTCTAGGAAAATGTAACAAATAAAATAAACTGAAAAACTAAATATCTATGTATATTTTTCCTGTGTATCAAAAATTGATATACAGAAAGAAGCCAAATATCCCAACATTGTTGGAATATCTAAAAATGTTTTTTTTTCTTCTTTTTAATAAATGCAGTTTAATTTACTGAGTGTTTTTTTTACCATTTTATTTTCTCTATGAGTATCTTACAAAGGTTACTTTCTTTATATTATTTAGTGCGACTGTTAAAAATATTTAGGATTTAAAAAAAAATACATATTTTTATGCAAATCTATTATTTATTGTTTTTCAATTTTTAAGCAGAATTGTTAATAACACAATTATTAAGACTAATTTTATCACTTATTTTCAAATGTTTGAAGCTTTATGTTAGTTTTTATATCTTATTGGAAAAGCGATAGAAAACTAAGTACTTGTTTATATTTATAATAATCAGTACAAAATAAAATTATAGGAATTTTGTTTGTTTATTACAACAAAATGTTTTAAATTCATGTTTAAAATTTTGCAAGCTCATGTTCTAATATAAAACATAAATTGTGAGACTTAATGAAACATGGAATTTTAAATATTTATTATGTGCTCAAATAAGTGCAGAAAAAACATTTTTATTAAAAAAAGTGCATGTATACAGCTTGCTGTTCTCTTTGGATTTACATTATAAAATATCACTGTTTGTGTAGTGAAAAAAAAATGATAACGGAAAGATGTGTTTCCTGTTGACTATTAACATTTTATTAGCCTGTTACAAAACACTTGCAAAAGAAAATCTCCTGAATTTCCAATATCATCTTTTGAAGTAACAAAACAGTTTGTGGTATTTCATAATGAAAACATATATACCACCAGCTAATGCATGCTAATATAAATGTTTAATAAAAATAATTTTTCTGCGCTTATTTGAGAAAGTTGCAAATGTTCAAAATTTCCCATTTCCCTAAATCACATTGCAAACACTGCAAAATATATGAAATACTGTAATTAATAGTTTTATTGTGAAATGCCATTGTATGAATATTTATTATTCAGAATCAACAGGTTTTTCATGTTTTATGTATTTGAGTTTTGTAAACATTAATTTTGGATGAATTAAATAGAAATCAAATGGTTGTATTTTAATATTAGAAATCAATCTACAGGCTTATTCAAATTATGCATAAGAAGAAATTTGACTGTGTACTTACTGTGCAAACAAATCATATTTCTTTATGCATTTAAATGAATAATACTGTCCAAAAATAAGCTGGCTATTTTTTGGTCAAGTTTATTACCTAAAATTTGCTTATAATCTCTCTCTTTTTAGGAAAAAAAAATTTTAAATACTTTTTATGGAAAAATAATAAGTATTTATTTGAACACTCTTCGTAACATAATTAGAGCTATACATTTGGGGAAAAATTAGCATGCCCTCATTAAACATTTAGGAATTTCCTTTTCTTTCTTTCTTTCTTTTTTTTTAACCTCCTTTGCCATTTTACTTCCATGCTTTGCATTTTTTTTTCTCTGCCCATTCTCTTACCTCCCATTTTTCTCCCATTGTATTTGTTGTAGTCTGATGAAAGAAGGCTTGTTCTTACCCAAATGTATAACTTTTTATTTTGTGTATGTGCATGGTGTCTGAAGTTTTAATTTTTTTTAAATGCTTAAAGGTTCAGTGAAATGTGAAAAGTGCTTAAAATTTTCGTTTCTTAAAAGCCCTTGAAATGCCTTTTTTATTGGGTGTTTTTAAAAAGTGCTTTATTTTCCTTTTGGAAAATGAAAATGTTTTCTTTACCCTGTCGATTTTTGCCACATATTATGCAAAAGTGTGCTTTTCACATTGTTCTATTCAACGTTTAAACAATTTATTGAACCACAATCCATTTTGGCTTACACTTGGTCCGTAGCATTTAAAAGCGGCGGTCATTTTACTTGTTTGATGAAATACTTTGGATTCCGCAAGTGCGTCTACTGAGCTTGGTTTGATGAGATTATTGCACTCGCATGTGCAACTCTGCTGCGTTTTGCAAGATATTCTCAATTTCAGGCTTCATTTTCCTCCCTTTGATATCGAACCAAAAAATCTCTCGATCTTTTTATAATGACTCATATAATCAAGAAACTAGTTATTTTATCATGATCATGTAAAGTCTCTGAAAATTATTTTGCATTTTGTTAATGCATATATAGCTTAAAAATACCTTTTGAGTGCTTAAGAAGTACTTAAAAGGTGCTTATTTTTTGTTAAAAAATTTGGCTTCGCATCCTCTTAATGTTTAGTGTAACCCACTAGATAATGTATAATATTTTGTAATTTATTTCAATAAATTTTAAAATATTATATATATAAATATATTTTTATAATTCAATTAATAATGCTTTTTGAGAAACTGTAACAAATATATGAAGTTTAACTATTATGTAAATTAGAATTTGATATCCGATTTTATAGAGTGTGACGGCTTTTGGTCGTATGATGATTGACGAAACAAAGAGACTCGTTGAGGAGAAGTATAAAGTAGAGAATGGCTATTCTCATACAGCCAAGGTCATTTATGGGGACACTGATTCCGTGATGGTCAATTTCGGAGTCAAAACTGTGAAAGAAGCTATGGACCTTGGACGAGAAGCAGCCAATTTCGTTTCAAGTCATTTTGAAAAACCCATTAAACTGGAATTTGAAAAAGTATATTTTTTTTATCCATTTTGATTACTTTTTTTCTGTAAATGATATTTTATGTTGTCAGTTATAAAAAAGTTAAGGTTGTATATGTTATGTGTATGGCTACTACAATATCTGATACAACAGTAACTCCCTTTGCTACAATAATGTTTGGTGGTCCTGACGAACATCCATATGAATTAATGTTATCCTCCTCTCAATATTGCGATATTCTCTGAAGCAATAAACCCCTGTAAAACAATTTTTTTTCTTCGAAATTTCAACCTTATTTTCCTCATATATTATTGATTTTCAAGTAATGGAAAAAATCTTATTTTATCTTATTTTGCCATTTTTTTCAGTCTTTTCTGTCTTGAGAAGACTCACTACTGATTATGTATTTATCTTATTTCTTTTCACCACAGTGAATGGCTTTTGTATTCAGATTTCAATACTACATCCTTGATGTACATAGACAGGGTGCGTAGCGTTTGTAAAAAGTACTTAAAGGTGCTTTTTTGGGGATTTCATTTTTAAAAGCTTTTAAAGGTGCTTTTTTCAGCTGGCGTTTTTAAAAAGTGCTTTTTTTTCTCCCTTCAGTGATATCTGGTGGATCCCATGCATTTCACGAAAAATGGGGAGTTTTCTACGTAATCATTCACGCGGACTATGCTTCATGTCGTACCCACGTTATGGCTTGCGCACACAATTGAAACCGAAACCGGAGTGCTCCAATTCGGGTAGAGAATATCAGATCCTTATGAAATGTTTTTCTTTTTAATTTTATTCTTGTTTATTTTATTTTACTTCTAACACTTTTTTTGACGTAGGGGGTAAGGGTACTTTTGTTCTGAGTTCAGGGTCAAGTTGAATTCACTCGGTGATGTGGGAAAGTACTAATTGTTTCGATTTACGCCCGTTTCTTTTTGGGTTTTTTTAACGCTAAAACTGCTTATAAAAAGTTTTTGTTTTTCAATAATATCATTGATTGAATATGAATTTTTTGAGTGCTTGAAAATTTTTGTAAAGTGCTTGAAAAGTTTTTAAAAAGTGCTTATTTTTGATTCAAAGATTTGGCTACGCACCCTGATAGACCACCCCAAGACCTTCCATTCTTAGAATTGCCTCCCTTATCTCTTAAGAAGTCACAGATGTAACATTTCGACCTGATTTCATGTTTAACCATAATAACTACTCTGCAAACTAAATTTTTATTTAATATATGAATGGATTTATAGTTAATATCTATATAACATTAAAATTTTACAAAAATCTTATTGTGTCCCCAAAGTAGTATTGATATAATATCTCTCCCTACAACATTATATTTATTTGGTCCCCAAAATATTGTTGTAGCAGGATTTTACTGTATATATGTATATAATATTGGATTAGTGGGGCTAATTCCAGTGAAAGAATAAGAATCATATCTAAACTGAACAATTTAACAACCAAAAAAATATATATAGTATTCAAGAGTTAACAATTTTTTTAGGACATGCCTACACGCAGTGGCCCGCCCACACATTACATCTACCACATAGTCTCAGATTAGTTAAGTTTAGTTTGCTTGTACACCCTCCAGCAGCATTTTCCTGGAAAGTCTAATGTAGGACCGAATCCCATAGCTCAGTCTTCCTGCAACTTACTGGCCTCAGCAACAAATGCTGGCGTAAATCACATAACTAGCATTCCCTCATATGCCACTCCAACAATGGTTGTTTCTGATACTGGCAACTGATTTTGGGAGATGATTTTGACAACTTATAGTTTTCTGAATATATAAATAGAATATGTAGAACGAATAGAACATATGCAAACAAATATTAATTAATGTTTTTTGTGATGACATATCTGTATGTATTGTCTACTCAGACATCTTGACATGCATTGTATACGGTTCTCTTGGATCTTCAAAATATTCATTTTCGTGCAACTTACTGGCCTCAGCAACAAATCCTGGCGTAAATCACCTAACTAGAATTCCTTCATATGCCACTCCAACAATGGTTGTTTCTGATACTGGCAACTGATTTTGGGAGATGATTTTGACAACTTATAGTTTTCTGAATATATAAATAGAATATGTAGAACAAATAGAACATATGCAAACAAATATTAATTAATGTTTTTTGTGATGACACATCTGTATGTATTGTCTACTCAGACATCTGACATGTATTGTATGCGGTTCTCTTGGATCTTCAAAATATTCATTTTTGCTTCTTCTCGGACGATCTCTCCGTCTTGGTAAAGGACTTTATGTTCTCTTCTTCTAACATCTTTATTTCTTTTTCTCTTTATTTCTGATTGTTCAATACCCATCATTACAAATTGTTCCAGAAATCTTCCGTAAAATTTTCTTTTTCTATATTCTTAAAAGATCAGAACCTCTTTTAGTTAAAAGACCAGTTCTCCAGTTCAATATTTTCTCATAAATTCTCAACAATGTTTGTAAAGGGAGGAAAAGGAAATCACAGACGCTGTAGAATATTGATTGATTTTCCTTTAATTTTGTGCATTTTAAAGTCTTTATTCAGCTGTAAAAAAAACTCTGATCACTTCATTTCCACATTAGTGAAGCAGCATAGTATAAAAGGAATTATGATTTCTAGCTCATAATACGGAAATGATATTAAGATAACAATGAATTTCATGTTGCGTTTCTAAAAGGATAAGGGGGATATACTTAAATACTATCTATTATTTTTAAGATTTTTTTTTATGCTGAATGAAGTGACTAATATAGACAATATTTATGTTTTATAGATAAAAGTGCAGTTTTTTATCTATATTTATTTACGTATCTAACATTGCCCATTAGGCAAGTGAGGTGTCGTTACTTACACCACTTTATTCAGCTGACATTGCTATCTAAACAAGTGAGGCATTTCTTCAAATTTAATTTTTTACGCTTAATCCAATAAAATGGTCATTTGAAATAATAGTTTAGAAGCAATGAGAGTTTAATGTATGAAATATACAATTTTTGACTTACCTTTTACTCATAAAATATTTATAGCATTAAAACTGTTAGATCTATCAAATCAATTCTATATATTTTATTTTTTTTAATTTTTCTAAAAAAAAAGCATAATAAATCTTACCTGACTTTATTAATGCCCGATTTGACTATACAACAATGTCTCAAATTTCATTGTTATATAATTGTCATAAAATGAATTTTCATTGCATTAACTGCAATTATTATTAAGAATATCACTTTTACAAAAGACCAATTAAAAAAAAAGAAGAAGAAAAATTTAAATGCAAGAGGATTGGTTTTCATGAATTCAATGTCATACATACAATTTATTGTTGTAAAATTTAAAACATTCATTATTAGTATAAGATAATTGAATTAAAAATTTTAGGGTTTATTTTAGGACAAATTTTTCTGTAACATACACTATGTAAATTCAAATTTACTAATAACTAGAAAATTTTTTATTAATATTATCAATATTTTATTGAGAACTCTTTCCATTTACCCTATTATATTTGTTATAGGCTTTAAACGTGTTTTGTATTTTAAATAATACAAGCATCAATTTAAAAAATAAATCATTTTAGAACATTACTCATTTACATTTTTAATTTTTTTTTTAAATTTCAATCATACAAACAATATTACATCTATTTCCTTCTACACCAGACAAACCTTACAGGGTTCCACAAAATATGTAAAATAAAAGAAAGAAATCATTATCATGATAACATTTTACCAACACTTTATTTGAATAAAGGGGATTAAATACCATTAATTTGAAATCAGTTAAGCCTTCAGGTATCCCTTAGAAACTTATTTTAAGTTTGATAAATGTTTTGATCACAGTTCAAAGATTATTATCTTTGTTTTTGTAGTTTTAATGTTAACTTTGAATAATAATAATTCCCCTATTTTAAAGGAATTTTATAAGGTTTTTGGTGCTTTTACGAAATGTTCTTATATTGAATGTTACCAAGTCATTACATTGTAAAAAAAGGAATTTAATAAATATTTTTGTGAATTTATTTAGGTTTACTATCCCTATCTGCTGATCAACAAGAAGCGATATGCTGGTCTTTACTTTACAAGACCAGAAACCCATGATAAAATGGATTGCAAAGGAATCGAAACTGTAAGAAGAGATAACTGTCCTTTGGTTGCAAATCTCATCAATTCTTGTTTAAAGAAACTCCTTATCGACAGGTTAGGAACCTTCTAAAAACTTTTTAGTTTTTTTTAAAAATAGCATTTATGTACCAAATTTGTTTAATATGTTTGGGAAACAGAGAGTGTAAGGATAAAAATAAAAGAGAGTAATAAATATTTAATAAAATTAAATTTTTAAGAATTGCTGTACTTCTAATAAATAAAAAAGGAAAAAAAATTTTTTTTTTTTTTGATAGACTGGAACTGTTGGGCGCATCATTTTTTAAAAATATGAGGAAGGAATTTTAGATGGTGATAGTTTAATTATTTTAATGATGAATAAGGTTTAAGTGTTTTTCTTTAGGTCCGATTAAAAACAAAATAATTTTGGCATTTTTTTATCTGGTGGTTTAAGTCAAAATTTTGATTGGTAGTAAATTTTCTTGCACCATACTGAAGCAACTGTAACTTGCATAGCCACCTAGCATAGAGTTCTACTTGAAATTTGAGCTTTTAGCTAGTCGAATTGTCAATTTACATTAAATTCTATTTTGATAAAATGACTAAATTCTGCTTGTAAATGATCGAGAAGCAACTGTCACTAGCATCCATTTTGAGTGTCATAGAGATTTTATGCTATTTGGAAAATGGTAAAAATTTTAGTTGTAAATTGAAATGCATGCACAAGGATGAATAAATAAAAACATTGTGATAACTTTTGTTGAAAAAATATAGATCCATCTCATCACATATTCTGTGATGTGCAGATCCTATTTCCCAGATTTTTTCCCCTTCATGATCTGGGTCAAAAATCAAAATCTGTTGGAAAAAAAAATTATATTTATTCAAAGAAAATGCATTTTTGTATCTGATGCCATTATTTANTAGAGATTTTATGCTATTTGGAAAATGGTAAAAATTTCAGTTGTAAAATGAAACGCATGCACAAGGATGAATTAATAAAAACATTGTGATAACTTTAGTAGAAAAAATATAGATCCATCTCATCACATATTCTGTGATGTGCAGTGCGAAAAAAACATAAACATCCTGAAGTTTTGATCTAACAAATTGATGCATATTAGAAGTAAATTTTTGTGTATTCACGAACCAATCCTTAAATATGATAGTGAGTTAGTGCATATAATATTTAAAGTTTTAAAATCAGATGCAAAGCATCCTTTTTTGATTAAGCATACACACACATATGTATATACACATAGCTGCCAACTCTTTCAGTTTTCCCAGATTTTATTTTCATATTTAAAGCGGTAGTGAAACTCATATTATTCCATTAAACTTTTGGCTTATAATAATTATTATAAATGAGTTTGACCACCACTACATATAAATAATAACTACAAATATGAAAAAACGCAATAGTCTTTACGATAGAAAGTTTCAACCTAATCAAAATATAAATATATTTTTGAGTAAGATTGTTTTTCGGTAATTATTTTACAACCACTTCAAAAATCCATTCTCGGAAAGAGTGATAGTTGGTAGGTATGTATGCATGTATATTGAAAGATTTATATTCTTGACCCTCAGAATAGGGAGGTGGATTTGCAGCAATCTGAAAAATTAAATGCCACTAGTTTAGGCCCCTTAAAATTTATTTCGATTTTTGCATACTTCTCCATATCAGAGGTCTCTCCATATAAAATCAAAAGTATTCTGTGAATGATTATGAAACTTGTTTATCCAATTCCATGCAAAAATTAATTTTTCATGATTATTAATTTACCTTTTGTTAATTAATTTATAAAAAGTTAAAAAAATTTTTTAATTCTAAGGCATACAAAATGTGACATCAATTTATTGGTTTAACATCGAAGGATTCAAACTTTAGATTGTTCTCATACCTAAACTATTGAGATCCTATTTTCCAGATTTTTTCCCCTTCATGATCTGGGTCAAAAATCAAAATCTGTTGGGGAAAAAAATTATATTTATTCAAAGAAAATACATTTTTGTATCTGATGCCATTATTTAAAATATCATCTTCCCTAATTAATTAACATATTTTTGATTAGGCCTTCAAACAACTTAGAGGGAGTTCTATTTAATACATGTAAATCCAATTATTAGATCAAATTTATCCAAGGTGTTAACTATTTTGCTCACTATACACATCAATTTATCTACTTCTTTTAGTTTAAAGATTGATATCAAATAGACAATAAGGTTTAGATTATTTATTAAATTCTTATTAGGTTTTATTGGATTTTATTTTACATGCAGAAATATTAGTGTATAGTAAGATATATTACCATATTCTTACAGTCTATTGCCGGTTTTGTTATGTAGTATGAATTGATTTTAGGGATCCAGAGGGTGCTTGTGACTATGCCAAACAAACTATAGCAGATTTGCTTTGTAACCGAATCGACATATCACAATTAGTTATTACTAAAGAGTTGACAAAAACAGATGAAGAATATGCAGCTAAACAAGCTCATGTTGAACTGGCTCATCGGTAAGTTTTAAAATGTACTTTTAATGAATTGTAAATTTTAAGTAGGTTATCGTGTATAGATAGATCTATAAACCTATTTTCTAATGTTTCATTTCACTTTTTGAATATCCTCAAAACAACATGCAATGATGATTTGAATTGTACATGGGATGTTCGATGCAATTTATAAAACTTACAGAACAACATCACTGAGAGTAACAAAATAGTTATCCATGCTTTTATTTCCAAATTGTTTTTATAGTATTGATGTGCAATAATATGTGAAACAAAATAAATTTGCTCACTTATTTTTTATGTTGATATGTCTAAACCACAAATAAAATACAGTTAGCTTTTTGCTCCTTTGTAGTAGGAAAGATATATTTAAATTTGATTGTGCCGCCATTTAAAGGCAAATTTTTCAGCATGAAGAAAGATTTTTTATAAATTTATTTCTGTTGGGGATCATATTAGTAACTGAATACAGGTATGTGATTCTTCCACTAATTTTATTTTATAACTGTCGTTGAACAGCCAACCCAATTTTGGGTTATGGCTACTGATGTTCAACTCTGTAGCCTTATAATTTTGAAACTAATCCAGAAGACAAGGAAACTCATGGATGAAGTATTGTGAGAAATTTGCCTTTGTGGAGGACTTTTTGACGGAACTAACATTGTGTTACACGGAGGGGGAAACCACGAAAACCTCCCAGGGTTAGCCTGACAGCAAGGGGACTCAAACCCATGATCTGTCTACCACTGAGGATATTTTATGTCAGCACTGTGGTCTGTGTAAGCCAGGTGCGGAAATTGTATCGACCAGCCATCACTGGGATTCGAACTTGGTTCACCTCATTGGAAGGCGAACGCTCTATCACCTGAGCCACAATGGAGATTAGCGGAATTTCGCTGATCTCAAGACTGTTAATTCGCAGATTTCTGCGAATCTATTAATATTTCAACAATATTTTCTTGGAGTTCCGCTAATTTAAAATTTAATTTCGAAACCTTTGTGAAATCTCATTAAGAAGACTTTTATTCTGCCCTTACCAGCACTAAATTTTTTTCTTCCTAAGTTCTTATTCCAAATACGATGACAACTTATTTTCTGCAGATTTGTTAGAGAAAAATGCAACTTTAGATAAACTTCAAGAAAGTTCAACAAAAAAAATATCCATTACTTCAGTTGGAATTAATGAACTACTGAGGCGAACACAAAAGTATGAAATTGATAATCTAAAAAGTAATTCTGAAATGGCAGCCATTTTAAAGATTGTTGACTAGAAAAAAGGGATTTTTTTTTTTTTTCATTTTTATGAGTAGCGATTTTGCTGCAAATTCCGAATTGTAACAGAAGAATTATTTAATCAATGTAATGCATTTGCCTTCTTTTATATTTGGCTACAAATTGATCAAATAAATTTTTAATGTGATATTACAAAATGGAAATTTCATATCGTGCATTTCAGTAATCACTTTTCAGCACGCTCGACATCATCGTGAATCTGTGTTTCAATCTTTTTTTTCTTTTACAGTTAGTTCAACTCATTTTCTCATGGTTTTTGAAATTCCGATATTAAAATGCACAAAATTTGAATCACACATTTGAATGATCACTTTTTGATACGCTTGATTTGTATCAATACCATTCTAAATTCGTGTGGTGTTTCGATGTTTTATCAGCTGATTATTGTTACGAATTTTCTCCATTTTTTAAAATTGATGTATTGTTTATGTTTTATTATTGTGACACTCAAAATTCAATTCGTGAGTCGCTTTTTTATGCAATGATTTTTTCGATCAACTTTTTCACAGTTATTGCTACTGATATCCACATCTTTTTTTAAATCTCGATATTTTTATACGATGTTATTAAGAAATTGGAATTACACATTTCAATAATTACTTTTTTTAACAGGCTGGATTTGCCCGAAATCTATGCGGCATTTCGATCGGCTTTTTTGACAGTTTTTGCTGTTGATTTCCACATGATTTATTTCGATGTTATATATTTATTTATCTTTATGGTTTTTTACTGTTATTTCCCCTTTTCTAGAATGAAGAAGCGTGATCCCGGAAGTGCACCAAATCTGGGAGACAGAGTACCCTATGTTATAATCGCTGCAAGTAAAAAGACGGCTGCTTATTTGAAATCTGAAGATCCAATTTATGTGTTAGAAAATAACATTCCAATTGATACGCAGTATTACTTAGAAAACCAAATATCTAAACCATTGTTACGAATATTTGAACCAGTGCTTGGCGAAAAAGCAGAATCTATTCTTCTCTGTAAGTGTTTTTTATAAATATTTTTGTTTTATTCTCATTTTGAGTTGATTCCTTTTTTCCTGACAAATTTAAGGTTTATAAATGTATTATCGTTTTTTTCCTTCATTTGTGTTGTACAATATTTATTGTAATCTTAAATGTGTATTTCAAAGAACTAATAGGTTGTATTATTTTCTGTTTCTTGCACAAAATTTCTTTAAAATTAAATTATGTCCTGTCTCTCTTTTATTTTTTTGTTTATTCACTAGCAAACTAACAATGAACTACTATTTTTTTATTAGTTTATAATATTTTTTATTTATATTTTTTATATACTAGTGAAATATGAAAGTAAATAAATCAGCAAAATAATATAATAACAATTAGCTCAAAAGGGGATACACTAATTATATGAGTTAGTATCTGTTATTAAAAGGATTGTTGATTATTCTGAAAACTCTTTTTCTATAATTTATCAGGGTGTGTAGCGTTTTTAAAAAGTGCCTAAAGGTACTTTTTTTTAGTTACATTTTTTAAAAGCCTTTAAAGGTGCTTTTTTATTCGGGGTTTGTAAAAAGTGCTTAGTTTTCTATCTTTTAAAAAGAGTTTTTTTTTTCTTTGCCGTGTCGGTTTTCATTGTAAATTACAAAAGATGCATGATTTTCACAATTTTCTGTGCAATATTTATCAGAAACTAGTTATTTTATCTTGATTATGTAATGTTTTTGAATTTTATAGATTTTATGTTTATAAATAAATTAAGAAATTTTAACGATAGAAAAAAATAATTTTTATTACTGAACAGATCCTAATTATGAATTTTCTTTCTTTTTTTTTTTGGAAAGTGATTATTAATATTTTTTTGAGTGCGTTAAAGGTGCTTATTTTATGTTGAAAAAAATCTGGCTACGCACCCTTTTTATGTGTATGTTAGTCATTGAATATATCTATTCCTATATGTTTGTACAATATGTATAAAAACATTTTTCAATTATAGGTGGTGACCATACACGTACAAAAACTATAGTTACATCCAAAATCGGAGCTTTGTCAGCTTTTACGCAGAAGAAAAGTACCTGCCTTGGCTGTCGATCAGTTTTAAAAGCAGGTAAATAATATTTTGCAGCAAACTTACTGATTGAAAGGACAAAAGTCTGACTTTTTAAATTATGAAATAATGGAGACTTTTTTTTTTCAAAACATTATAGTTTAGTTTTTTTTCTTCGTTTTTTATTTTAGTGATCTAGTTGTTGACTGATAAAATTGTTTGGATGCTCGTATCTTTCATTTAGATGTCAATTTTGTTTTTTATGATTGATACCAACATGCTCTGCAGCAACTCTTTGTACATGGGTCTAATAATTTTGCTTTTATATATTTTCTTTACTATTTTCGTATTATTTTTCATTCTGAATTGGTTTATGAATCAACTATTAAAATTCTACTTTTTTGATGTAGTGATCAACTAATACCAACTTGTTTTAGATGATTCAGTTTGTGAACATTGTAAGTGTAAAGAAAGTGAAATATATCAAACTGAGGTAAATATAGAATGATTTAATTTGTACCCAAAAAAAAATTATTTAGTGGAAGTGTTATGTGATGATCATTATGGATAGAGACCAAATTATTTAATGTAGGGAGAGTTGGATTAAATCAAGTTGGTTCGCAGTTTAAACCAGTGTGGTGTAAACAAAAAGTTTTTTTCTTTAAAGGAAAAACAAAAACTTTTTTTTTTTTTTTTTTTTTTTTTTTTNTCATATAATTGAAGTTTCTACTATTTATCTAAATTCTTCCAGTTTAGCAAAATGAAAAAAGATGCTTTTTGCAGTTTTGAGTTTAATTGATAATGGGAATCAGTATTATATAACTGCCAACAATTCTACATTTTGCAAAAGCTTATTTTATCCATTTTTTACCCGCCTGCCTGCTAACTCGTAGTTTCTTTGATTCAGACCTCATGCTGCTCTTGTAATGACCCGTTTACTGTGATCCTCCCTTTAAGGCATGACGTAATGGATTTCTCCTCTCGTCTACCAATAAGGAAATAAATTAGGCTTCTTCTTCGAAGAGCTCCCTATTATCACGTAACTTAATGTTTGCCAATGCTTGAAAGAAAGTGGCACGTGTAAAAATGAAATAGCGGTGGATTTGCAGTTGAAATATTTATTTGCTCATTCGATTAATCTTGTTAATTTTTAATTATTATGGCTGAAAGAAAACAATACAAACAAGTTATTTAAGGAGACTTATTCTCTTGAGTTTCCATTTATTTCTAGATCGAACCTTGGAGTAATGATGTACGTTGTGACGTACGTAAAAAATGACTTTAGTATCGTGCCTGGCTGTAAGGCTGATGTAGTCGGACACTTAAAATCGACAAAACACCAGAAGAACAAAGAATTTTTTGGTTCAACAACGAAGATAGTTTTTTTTTTTTTTTTCGAAGGAGTATTAATGAGGAAGCCATTATAAAAGATACAAATGCTGAATGTCTCCTCACAGTATTTTTAGTAGATCATGTTGGAAAACTTTTTCAAAAGATGTTTCCCGATTCTGAGAATTATAGTTATGGCAGAATTTAGAGTGCTGCTATAGTAAATGAGATGGCCAATGAACTTCAAAAAATGAAATTGAATGATCACAATAAAATTGAAAAACTTCACATTTTCTAGTGCAATTGATGGGACAAATGACTCTAACTCGAAACTTCATCCATTAGTGGGGATATTTTTTTATGAATCAATTGAAAAGATATGAAGATGTGGTTTAGCATTTATTGTTAAAGATGGTTGTATTGGGGTTAAAATGCAAATGGTGTATTAAACATGTTGAACAGTCTGGTCATTCTCTTTGATTAATGCAAAAAGTGCTACTAAAACATCTTTGCAAAATTAATTTTTTTAATTATGTAATTTGTTTTGCATTAATTCTTATAAGTTTATATAATATTGCATACTACAGATAAAATGTTATGTTGTAATTAAACTAAATAATGTTTATATGATACTTAAAATATTATACTTTTCCAAGTAATGAAGAATTAATAAATGAATATTATTCTGCCATCAAGTAGCGGGTCAAAAATCTTTTTCTTTTCTTGTTTTTAAAAAAAGGTGTGTTTATCCTTTTTTTTATGCTTATTATATTATAGTGGATTTATGAAATAATAAATAATTGAAAAAATTTATTAGCATGCAGTAGAAATCTTCTCCATTTTTATAAGTAGGGGTTGGCAGCTATGGTATTACTTCAAAAAACAGAAATGTGTATGTAGAAGTGGTTTACCACAAAAATATTTATGTTTAACAGCTTTGAAATTTTTTCCAGAAGAAACCTATTTCTTCCAGGACTGTGGAAGAAACTGAACAAAATGGAAGAAACTAAAAATGACAAACACAATTGTTTCACAATAAGTTTGATAAGAATAACTCAAAAAAATTAAATTTAACATAGAAACAGAAAGTTTGAAGTTTATCATGTTCAGTTTAAAAATATATTTATCAGCTCTATGGAGAATTTTAAAATCGATATATCATTTTATTAAGGAGTCTGTTTCAGTATTCATACTTCACATCATTTCATAATAAAAATTAGCTCTTTGTAATTCAGAATTCCATATGTGTTCCTAGTAATATTTTCCTTTAGTTTAAGATTTGTTAATTTAGTGTTATTAATAAAATTCGATTGTGCTATTTTGACAGTTCTTTATGTAATTATAAATTCAAGTTTTGCTATACTTTTTAAAGTAAAATATTGAAGAACTTACTGTTTTTGTCTTTTTAAGAAAATCATAATTTTTTTTCTTGCTTTTTAGTTTTCATTTATTTAAAAATGATACATTGAATAGCTGGAAAATTAATACTATTATTTCGACTGGATTGCAATTAAAAACTGTTATTCTTTGATATATTTTTTATTTATTTGTTTTTTAAAAGAGTTTCTTTAAAGAAACTTGCTCTCACTGATGTTAAATGAACTGAGCAAATTTAATATTAAGTCAAGCAAGTTTAATATCTCTTAAAAATGATCAAAATAAAATGGATGTCCCATGTTCTGTACATTTTAGAGCTAAATAAATAATGTAATTATTAAAAATGCTCAGGTTTCTCAATTTTTTTAATTTTTTTTTATCTACCTGTTAAACACCTTATATTTGCTACAGTTGAAAGTATGAATAGGAATGAGGTGTTTTTTAAATTTTATTTTTTCAATTTAATTTAGTATTATTTTCTGTCACCAAGGTAAATAAATTTTTATTGTATATATGCAGTATCTTTATATTAATTATTGTCATTTTTAAATTAAAATAGTTCCATCATGTTCAAATGAATTATAAAAAACTATTTTATTTTTTCTACCGTCAGTGCTAAAACATACCTTTATTTTATATATTTATGCAGCCTTTTTTTAAAATAAATAAATAAATTTCTTTTTATCATTCTGTGAATTCTAATGTTTTTTAGTTGAAAAAATTGACTATCTTGCCTTGAATGTCTTGCGCTCATTTATATTGAAATTTGTTATTGATTAAAAAAATAAAAAAGATATGTTTATTTTAAAACAATTAGTTGATATTGATACTACAAATTGTATACTGCTAAATAAAGGCAATGAAAGAGATAAACTAACTTGCACTATTAAAAAAATAGACGTTAAGGTTTTAGATTTTAATTTACTTGTTAAGTAAAGTTAAGAATATTCAAGATCTTTAATTATTATTTTTTCATCATGTTCACATATTTTTGAGCAAAATTGAATATTTTTGTTTGCATTCTTTATCAAAATATGAATCAATTATTAAAAAAATTTCTGTGAAATACTTTTTAATGGTAAATTATTTTTAATTTGGAGCTTAATGTATTTAGTTTTTTGTTTTAAGTAAACAAAAAAAAAGCTGGTTTTTTGTGTTTTTCCAACTTTGGTAGACCAATGTAATATAATTAATTTACTTTACTTGAAAAATTATTATTTTACGTGAATTAATAAATCAATATATTTATTTACTTTGTGAAAAAAAATTTAAATTTTTTTTTAATTTTTAATAATTGATTTAAAAAGGAGATATTTCTTTAACTTATATTTCTTTCAGTTAGATGCTTCTTTTATCCACCAATAAATGGATAGCAAACAACATTTTTCTTTTTTTATAATCTATTTATATTTAGTTATTTATCGGTAAAACCAATTTTAAAAAATGACCCATTTCCATGCAATGTTTTGTTAATGTGGAAACACCATATTAAGAGGAACACCCTGGTCCCCAAAGTTTGGGATGGGAACCCTATAAAAAAATTCCTGATTCGGAAATCCCCAAAATTAAGTCATGCATCACTACAACAGGAAAAGTGTGCACTTGATGTAGACATTAAAGTTGGTCAGATTCTTTGGACTGGCGTCCCGCATTGGACTGATCATAAAGACCCAGTAGAACACCGAAATCAAGCATCACTGCTTGATTTCGGTGCAGTCGGTAAGTGGGTGGGTGATCACTTTGATCCGCCTGTGTAGGGACCGAGGATTAGCGGTATCGGTCCTCGTTAAACTGATGTCGTTAAGTGCTTGACTTCGCGCACATGTTGTCGGGCTACCAAAGCAGGTGAGCCATCCCCTCTGCATAGGATTAAAATTGTGATACCATGCCTTCAGATCATCCTCTGGAATGTTTCCCAGATAGTCCCCAATAGTCCATTGTGCAGCTCTGTTGTGACGTAAATTAAGTACCCATCTTTGGACTAAGGGAAGCTTTATTTGAGAAAACCTTTGAAGACATTATGTTTTATCAGAGATTTGGATTCATCTTGATGATTATCTATAATCAGGGCCGGATTAACCTATAGGCACACTAGGCACGTGCCTAGGGCCTACGAAAAACTTGGGAGAAAAAATTTGTTGACAAATATAATTTAGCTTCAGAAACAACAAGTGTATTTTGCACAAAATTATAAAGATACAAATAAAAATATAATATTTTTCGGTAATAAATTATTTTGCATAATCTTATGATCTAATATATTACTTTTTTGCGATTTTTGGATTCAACGAAATCTTGTATTATGCTGTCGAATTCCAAACTACGCAAAATGTCGTATTCAATAGACATAAGTGCGAGCGATGCCAAACGATCTTGATTCATTGTTGAACGCAAATAATTTTTTATCTATTTTTATCTGGAGAAAGATCTTTCTCCTTCTGCATTTGATCCAAGAATCGACAAATATATTCTTAATGCAATGTGAACGTTAGGAAAAGTATTCACAAGTTTATCTCTAATTTGAGCCTTCAACATTTCTTGTTCAGATTTATGTTCATACAAATTTGAAAATAGTAAAAATGCATCTACAAAGTTTTCCTCTAAATCGGATGAGTAAATTTTCACCAAATTTTGCGCTTCTACTTTAATCTCAGATTCTGTCAAATTTTTGTGAACAAGAAAACCGAAATTATCGTACAAATCACTGTAAGCTTTACGCCTTTTAGTCATTTCTGAAATTAATACATCTAAAATGGCGTAATACGTTCCTGACAAAGCGTGACTAACATTTCATTGAAATAGTATTAAATCATTTTTTTTCTATTAGTAAACATTTAACCTACCTTGCAAATTTATTTTTAAATAATTTCAAAAGATTTACTTTTGACAATGTTAATTTCCTTCACTTAGTTATCATAGTAGTATCATGAAAACTATGAAGCTATTTGCAGTATAATTATTTCTTGTAATTAATCTTACTATCAATTTCACTGTTTTCTTTGCTGGTTTGTTGTTGTATTGTTGACGTGAAGTGTTTACCTTTACATAGTTATCGATCGAACTAATCATAATGGTACGTGTTATCGATATCAACTGCAATATCGGCAGTATGTCGGTATTGCAGATAAAGTTCGATAAACAAATTTGTAAATTAAAATCCATATTAATAAAAATGTAAAAAAATATATGCAAGAAAATTTTAGCATATATTTTGAAAAGAGGGGAGGAGTGGGGGAAAGAGGGAAGGGCCCCGAAAACGGCTGTGCCTAGGGCCTACGAAAGGTATAATCCGGCTCTGTCTATAATGAATATTCTGTTGTAAAGCTGGAAAAAAAAACTTTCTTCATAACTAAGTAAAGAAAATATTTTTTTTTTATTAATTTTCTATAAAAATATCCAAACTTACCTTGTGAGTAAAAAACTGATAAATTCTAAACTAAAATTCAATAAAAGAGTAGATGCTAAAAAGTAAATAGTTATGCATATGTTGACCAAATTTTTCGATTACAATGCTTCACATTAGGGTTAGACAAAGCAATATTTCATAATTAATTTTTTTTCTTCCCTTTTTTGTTTGGCATGTGTTTATATCTACTTATTTATAACTATAAATATTTTATGCTTTTATATTTCTTGTCAGGTTTATTATCTGCAAGATCTTGAGAAAAAATTTGCTCGTCTGTGGACAGAATGCCAAAGGTGTCAGGGAAGTCTGCATCAAGAAATATTGTGCACTAGGTATGTTACAAAATAAATCAATATTTTAAATTTCCTTTATTTTCAATCAATTTCATTCCCACGACACTATGAAATCTTATTTTGTACAATTGTCTTGTTTTAACTTTTTGCACTCCAGGCACCTATTTAATGACATTATCACTCTAAAACTTAAAATTCTTATATTTTAATAATTTATAACCACGTTGTTTAACTAGTTTTAGAAATTATATTAAAAATATTGTACAATATTTAAATAAATAATCCAAAGAAACTGAAGTGGTAAGATATTACCTGATTAAAAAATATATAAATAGGAAATAACGTTTACAAGTGCTCAAAAACAGATGCCCATTTTATGTTGATTGTTATTTCTTATTGACACAAAGCAAATGATGTTTTTAATCAGGTGATTATACAACGTAGTTAAAATTTATTGTTTATGTTAGTTCAAACAGCATTAAGTACTCATAGCGCAAAAGGTTCTAGTAACATTTAAATCTAAAATACATGCAATTGATTATATTATATATTAAATATATATTATATATTAAATATTTCTTACAAAATATAGAAGTAATGCGTGTAATAAACCTAACTAAATTATCCAAAGTAATTGAATCATATTAATATTTGGATTTTACATCTGACAACACTTTTTAATCTATTTTCAATTATTGAACTCTAAAAATTGTGCATTTTTTTAAAAAATATAATGCTATAGATTATTTTAAAAATGTAAGCTGCGTGAACTATTTGTAACTACTTTTTGAGAAACTATTACCAAAAACAGGGATGTGATTCATTCGCGGATTTCTGATTTTTTTCAGATTTTTCCATTTTTCCTGCTAATTTCCGCAGAAATATTTTTTTTTTGTTGCACAATTTAAAATATTATGGAGGAATTTTCCGCCAAGCGAAAGTATTGAAGTCCTCATTCCTCCCTCTAAAGTTTCTCTAAAAATCATTTCCTTGGGATAAAACTGGTTGACCTTTATTACAGGGATGAGATTTTTCTGCTTTTTAGCAGACTTTCGCTTTTGTCTCTCGAATTTCAGCCTTTTTTTATCAAAATCTCCGAATCTCTAAAAGTTTCAGGTTTTTATTTTATATAAATATCCCTCTTTTTTTGAAAATTCAGTCGTGAAATAAAATAATTATATTTATTTATGATTTTCAAAGATAAACAGAAAATTCGAACTAGGTCCTAGCTGCTAACCCTTCTGCTCTTTTACTTATTTTAGCTATTTTCTCCGATTTACACAGAAGAAGAAAAGATTTTCCGTATTTTTATCCGTCTGCCGGATAGCTCGTATTTTTGTAATTCTGATGTCGCTGCTTCCTGTTTTCTGGCGTTAAAGCAAACGATAAAAAAAAGAGATGGATTTTGCGGTGAAAATATTTATTTGCTCATTCAATTAGTCTTGTAAATTTTTTTTTATTATGTCTAAACAAAAGCAATACAACCAAGCCTTTTAGAAATCTCATGTCCATGCTCTGCAAATATCTCGATTCTTATTCACGCGATTTTAATATCAATCATCGATTTTCGTATTTACCTAATTTAAAAGTTGCGCATTGCGACTCTTATTTACGCTATTTAAATATCGTACATTAGGATTCTTATTTACGAGATTTAAAAATCCAGTATTGCGTTTTGCATTTATGCATTTTTAAAATCACAATTTTATGATGAAACATCAATTTTCGTATTTACCTGATTTAAAAGTTGAACGTTGTGTTTTTTATTCGGGTGGTTTCAATATCGTACATTGTGATTCTGATTTACGAGATTTAAAAATACAATATCGCTATTTGTTTTTACGCCCTTTTAAAACCCTATGTAGGGATTCGTATTCATGCGAGCTTAAAATCCAATGTCATGATTCGTTTTTGTTGTTGTAATATCAAACATTGATTTTCGTATCATACGTGCTTTAAAAATTAGACATTGGGATTTGTATTTGTGCGATTTAAAAATTATGCATCGTGATTCGTATTTACGTGATCTAAAAATTACGCATCATGATTTGTATTTTCGCATTTTTCAAATTTGATATAGAGTGTCATATTCACGTGATTTAAAAGCCTCATATCGGGATTCATATTCTCTCAATTTAAAATCATGCATGTGATTCATAAAATTTTAAAATTAATCATTAGGATTTATAATCACATGGTTTACAAGTTTAAAAATCGCACTTTTTTTGTCAAATTTTTGTTTANTTTATAATCACATGGTTTACAAGTTTAAAAATTTCGCTTTTTTTGTACAATTTTTGGATCTATATATATATATTCATTCTTGGACTAATGTCATCCCTGCAACAACAAAAAAATCAAATTTGAACAAAACAGTCTTTTTTTTAAATATCAGAAGTCCGAATTTAGAACTAGATGTACAATCTGAACTATTCTAAGTATGTTCCAGTATTTTTAAGTAAAACTTGTTATTTAATTTGAAAAAAAAAAAAAAAAACAGTTGTCTTTACGTTATTTTTTAACTTTAACAACACTTTAATAAGTTGTTGTTTTTTTTTTTCTTTTTTCAAATGGGTATAAATATATCATTTCACAATTCACTTTCCCCTGACAGATAGCACTACTTCTTTTTTTACTTCACTGATTGTTAATGTTTATATAATTGATTTATATTCTTTTACAAGCTTTCTCCCTATTTCATTCGTATTACAATACTAATTCTTTCTTGCACAGATAACATAATATGAATAACATAATTGTAATGACATAAAGTTTTCATTTTATAAATACATTATTCATACGTAATAAATACATTATACTCTGGAAATTAAAGTTAAAAACCTTCTAAATCTTTATAAATTATGGGATTTTACGTGAAAGGAAATAAATCTGCTGTTTTAAAAGCTATTATATCGAGAAAGGGAGGGAAACGAAAATAAAAAAATATGCAAATGTTCTATGATATTGAGCGGAAGATAAATTCTTTGCCTCTTTATCTACTTAATTACTCAGGGTTGCCACTCCACAGGGAGAATTGAGAATAGAAAAAACCTGAAAAATACAGGGAAATTAAAATATCAGGGAATTATAAAATTTCCCTGACAAACTGGGAATTTTATTTCTTATTTTTCTCTTTTTAAAAATCAATACCTCTCAAAGCCCTATCTGTAGGATATTTAAAGATAATAGTTCAGCTATATTATATTATTTCATTTATTATAACATTGTTTTATGTTGAGCTGTTTTCTTATTTTTCCAAGTTTTTCCTGCTACTAAAACTGGCATCTTTATCCTACTATAGTTCACTAGAGCACAGTGATAGTGTGTTTCCTCTTAATATATTATGTATAATGTGTACAGGGAAAACAGGGATTTTTTTTTTACAGATATGAGAAACAACCCTGTACTGTACGCATTTAAAGGTAGGTATTCCATCAATTAATTGACCAAGCGAGAAAAGAATTGTATTTGAAGAATCAGGGCAATTAATGACTAATTAAACACCTCCATCAAGCAAAAACAATGATATAATTTAATATACACAAGTTGTTATGTTAATACAGAAAAGAGAAAAGCATTTTTTTTTTTCAAATTTAGGTTAATTTTGCCCAAAGCAAAACAATAAAGCATTTGTTTCGAATAAAATGATTTTGAAATGTTTTTTTTTTTTTTGTTGTTATAGCCGAGATTGTCCTATATTTTATATGCGGATCAAAGCGAGGAAGGATCTGACCGATCAAGAAAAAGTCATTGAGAGATTTGGTCATCCCACACTTGACTGGTAGATTTGTTCCTTCCTTTTTAGCTGTGCTACTTTTATTTATTTTTTTTTATAAATACAAAAACTTTTTCATGTCATCTCTTGTTTCAAATTTTAAATAAATAACTTATTTTTCCTAAATTTATAAAACACTTGTCCAATAAAGTAAAAAAATACGATGTTCAGTCTAGTGTTGTTTTCTATTGCTGTAAGTTTTAAAAATTAAAATCAGCTGATTCAATTGTTTCAAGCTGTAACTAATGTATATTTCGTGTAAATTTAAAAAATTTAAGTTCCACTTACTTTGCTCTCTTCTAATTGCAAATGTAAAAATTGTATTTAATTTTTAAAATTAAAAAATTTGTTTTGCATTTATGATGTTTAGTGTTCATTGAAAATATAATATTTGTTCTGAGTGTGTTTTAATTTTTCGTTGAATTTGTCAATTCTTAACTGTTTATTATTTTAATTAAGATTTTTTATAAAACTTGTGTTAAACCTATATTCCTCGGTGCTCAAAATGTTTTGAACTTCTATTGATATGATGGTTCCTGTATAATAATTGCTTATATTGTGCCTATTAAAAAAGTTAAATTTATATCCTATTAGCTAACTTGATTTGTTAGCACTTGTATATAGTTATAATGCTCATTAATGTGTTGACAAACTAAATTACTTGAACCGAACAACTTGAAGATCTTCAAAGTGTTTGATATTCAAGTGTTTGACAAGATATTCAGTTTTTGTCTGGAAAAAATAACTTGCTTTTAGGGGTTTTTTTTAAAAATTAATTCTGTTTAATGAGATTGTATGCTTGAATAAAAAGTATTCACTTAATTTAGTTGAGTTGCTTTTAGTAAAAAGGTTCTACCCTTTTAGGTTTCATATAATTATTTTCTTAATAAAGCTTAAATTTCATTGCATATTTAAAAATGTTTATTTTATTAGCTTATATAAATCTTTTGTCTTCAAATTTTTTTAGTGTTAAATTTTTTTTTTTCTTGTAACTTCTTATTAAGGATGTTTATTGAAACTAAACTGTGATATACTATCTAATAATTGTTACTGATTATCCATGCATCTAAGATTTTGTAAAGCATGTAACATAAATATTAGTCTATTTTGTCTTTTTTTTTTCTCTGTATTATTACATTGGGTCTCTGTTCAAAGTTATTGTTATGATTTTTTACTTTACTTATGAAACATTTTATCTATTTTTCAAAGAAATTAAGTTCTTTAACAAATGTTTTTTCAAAGATTACTTATTAAAGATCTTTTTGTTTAAAATAGACAATATAATTAACTTTTCTGTGATTTACAGTTTGCTAATTTTTGTTATAAGACTTTTATTTTAAAATAAGAATTTTTATGCTACTATTTTGAATAATGTGAAGATTGAAGAAATAAAGAATATTTTAATTTAGTTTCTTTCTGTTGGTTACTTATTGTTTTCATTTGCCCAATTTTTTTTCTCGAAAATATAATCAAAAATTATTAGTTAAATATTGTTTATTATCTTTCATAGTTACAACTTTAATTCTTTAAAATAATGCATTTAAACAGTATTATCAATAAAGTTCAAATAAATTTATCTTAGCATTTCAGCGAGACTCATCTTCCGAAAAATTTATTTTCAATACATTTTTTCTTATTTGTTTTCAAATCTAGTTGAAACAAATTCACTTTAAAGAAAAAATTCCAATATGAATTTTTATTTAAACACCAGCTTATTTTGTTATGTAATTATTTTTTTATGACACCTTATTTTACTTCTGTATAATATATTATGTATTGTGTAATAGTAACATTTTATTCAACACTATGTAATATTTTATTACACACTATTTCTCAAAGTTGACTATAGAGGCAACTCCGCATGTGTTAAGCAAAATTGTTTTTGTCCATCTTACTAAATGTTTAAAAGAAAAGATGCTTATTAGAATTTTCAATCACAATTTAAATTAAATTTTTTGATTATTTGTTATTCAGTTTAGTCTTGTAAAAATTTTACTTAATTTTGTAAATGTTTTTCAGTTTTGGAGAGGTTTTTTTTTTTTCAAAATTATATCAGCTAAATTATTATGTTAACACCTGTTGATAAAGTTCAAAATATATCATGTCCAGTTTCAGTCTTGAAAAATATCATAATTTACAATTTCATTTAATTGTATGCTTAACTTAAAATTATTCAATCAATTGTATGCTTAAATTAAAATTATTCAAATAATCTACTTGAGTTTTATTTAGCAAAAACTTTTGATCCTTTTTTGGAGTTTTTATAAGTATTTTTTACATAAAACTTTACTTTTATTAGGTATTGTTTTTTTAATCATTTTAATATAAATCATTTGTCTCACTTTCTTTTTATTAAATAGTTTTTTCTTTATTTCTATAACCCTTTATAAAATATATTTATTGAATATAAACTGTGATACTATATCATTGTCCGTGCATTTAGAGTTTATGTAAAATATATATAAGGAAAAAAACGAGAATGTAAGACTATTTTTTAATGAAGCTCACTTTTTGGCATTATTACATTGGCACACTTTTCAATGTTGTTGTCATCATTTTTTAATTTACTAATATTAAAACATTTCATCTATTTTTAAAGAAAATAATCAAGAATTTTTTACTGAAATCTAACTATGTAATAGATCTTTTAGTTTCAAAAAGTATTTTATTTTTTGGGGAATTATGATTCACTAATTTCTGTTGTGAAATATTTATTTTCATACATAAGTTTTTATGCTGCTATTTTGAATAATGCAAGAATGGATAAATAAATCCTATTTTTGTGTCATTATTTTCTGTTTGTTATTTATTTATTTTTTTCTCTTATAAATGAAATTTGTAGTTGGTAATGTTGCTAAATTTAACGACTAATTGTTTGACTCTTACTTAATATTTTACATTTTTTTATTATTTTTTTATTACTAGCCTTGTGAGGCAACTGACTATTTGTTCTTTGTAAACTCACCGTTTTGCTGGATCCATGAGCTTTACTACTCCTCATTGATTCTGCTGCATTCCTTTCTTTTAATCTATGGTATCTGTCTTTTAGAAACAAATTAAAGAGATGGGATAAAAAGCCCACTATACCACCAGTTAGTGGCTAAATATTTTGCTGAAAGTAAAATTCAGAAATACTTTGGAATACCGGCTGATGAAAAGGGAAAAATTATTGATTAAAATTTTAGTATGTGTAGATCTCACATCATTAAAATATAATTATTAGATAGTATTCTTTCTTTTTTTTTAAAATATGTAATATTTTTTTTCTATTTTATTCAGATCATTAATCAAAATTAACTCGGCGAAATTATCATTTAATGCTAATAATTTATCAATGTATATGGAACTCTTTTTTCCCTCTTAGTTAATATATGGTTAAATTTTTATTAATACCCAGCCATTTACTAAGTTATGATTAATAAAAGTGTTTTAGGAAAAAAAAATTCATTTTTATCTTCCTTTGGGTAATGAAAACATTGTCAAATATAAGAAAAATATATATATATTATTTTAATTGCATTGTGAATTTTCTATATTTTCTGACGATATATCGCAATATTAATTCACAAACAACCAGCGCTAGTTCTCTCTCTTCTTTGACCCCATGTGCATAAGCATAGCATTGGGAGGAGGGGGACATAGGCCTCCTCAATAATTTTCAGAATTCTTTTTAAAAAATATTACTTTAAAAGAAAACACTGAGAAACTATTTTTAATTTAATGAAAAGTTAATAACTTTAGTTAGTTTCATAATTTGACGAAATAATTTTCTATTTATTACTTTTTGGCTTAAGTGTTATCTTAAGTACCATTTAATGATTTGTTTTAAAAATTATTTTTATCATTAGTTAATGATTTTGATGTTGAAATCGATAAGCATTAATGTAGTTTATAATTACAATTGTTTTCTATTAACATTGTCAATTAATTTTGAGAGATCTTGTTTATTTTTTGTAACTGCTGAAAGATTTTAGTATTGCTTAAAGTTATTTTTGTTGTATGGCATTCAACAAGTTTGTTTGGAACTTAAGTCAGTTTGTCATTCCAAGTCAGTTTGTTTCGAAAATTTTTATACGGATTTGTTTTAAGTATAAATTTTTAGGCAAAATGTTATATAATACTTAAGTTTATAATTCGTATAATTTTTAACCAATAAGTTCTATTTTATACGAAATATCCCTTTTTACATTACTGATTAATTTTAAATGTAATGTGTCAATTTTCGGCAGGTTTCAATAGAATGTGCTCTATACAATTTTATTTAATTTTCTCTTAGTTTTTAAAAACCTACTGACGGACTTGAAATAACGGGTTGAACTAAATGCATAAAAATATTAAAAAGTGGCACATTATTGCAAATGGTTAAAAATTTTATTCTTTTAAATTTTAAGGCAATTTCATATCTAGTAATTACACTGTTAAATAATAAATAAAGTACTTTATGATGGATCTTATTTTCTGATTATCTACGGTTTAATAGTTCAAAGCAACGAATTTAATCTATAAAAAAATTTACGCACTTTGGGAACAGTGGGAAAGCGATTGTGTTACTAATTGCAATTCTAGACTATTAATGCTACTCTTTTATTAAAATATATATATATATATTGTGACAAAGTTGCATCAGATTTTGTATTATTTTTCAATCGCAACTTGTTTAGAAATTAAAATGAAATATAAATCCCATAAAAATAATTTCTTAACATTTACTTAAGTAAATATTATATATTAGAGAAATATAGGAATGAAAAGTTTTAAAAAATCAATACAACAAAAAAAATTTTTACGATTTATTATTTTAAAGTACACTTAGAAAATCGAACTTTTATTTTTCCATTCCTGGAAATACAATTGAAGAGTACCCAAATAATAAATAAATAACAGGTGGATAATAATAACGGACCATCCTAAGTAAATTTTTTATTAATGATCAGATCTCCACGCGTTTGAGACGTGACCGCAAATATTCTAATTAATTAGTGCAGACAAGTTATGAAATCAGACACAAAAACGCATACCTTTTTTTTTTCTCTCGATGGATTCGAATTTCTGGCCCCAATAGTTTTTTTTATAACCGTCGTTAAACAGCCGACCCAATTTTGGGTTTACGACTACTAATGTTCAACTCCGTAGCCTTGCAATTTTGAACTCAATCGAGAAGACAAGGTGACTCCTAGATAAGAACCCCTTAGAAGTATTGATTCGTTATGGGAACGTGGAAGATATTGTCACTCGACAGATTTAACGTGCACCAGTCACCATTTACTATCACCATCCTCTCTTGGACATGAGTTCAGTGCCCTACCAACCAACAGAACATAGGTAAAAAACTTTGGACCCTTTAATCCTCATTTTGCCATATCTCAATAACTTTTAAAGCGAATTGAAAATTTTACGCACACAATAAAAAAATCCGTTTAAAGATAATTCCATGCAAAAAACAACTTTTAGTTAGTATTTATTATTTTTTATTCCTTTATTT